CATATATACATATATAACAAAAGCGAACACGAAAACTCACAATATATTTCCCAAACGAGTCGATACGAGCACACGAACCACAGAACAAAGTTACTCAGTTTGGATGCTTGACGGCTCTGACTCATTCAGTTCTAAAAAGCTGATCAATATTATGAATATGTTGATCATTTTGAACAATTTCTATGGAATATCTGTCATCGACCACTGACGGTAGACAATGAAAAAGGCACAAATTCCAAAAGTTCACATGATTTTAATTTGTTTTGGTATATTGTTAGAGTACCTACCCACACCTATCACTCATAGGTGTGGAAGATAGTCCCACTTGCCGTGAATGCGGAGAAGATGAGGAGACATCACTTCACTTCCTCGGAGAGTGTGAGGCGTATGGAAGGATGAGATTCGAAATCTTTGGAGTAGATAAACTACAACAGGAAGATTTGGTCGAATTAGAGTGGACGGACATCCTGACCTTCATCAGAAGGACAGGAAGGTTCGAAAAGGACAACTAAAAGAGGGATGTGTAGATATGTGGAGAGCAGGGGTTGGCAAAAAGGGCCCATGGGGGCCTACTTGCCTGGCTACAGCCTCCCCACAATACTACTACTAGAGTACCTACCCGTAGTGTGAGACCAAGTCTGCAGCTTCGAAAGAATTGTGCTAGGTAACTTCGTGGTTCGCGAAAAACTTCGGATTTCATCCCACTGATTAGTTTTTTACCCGGAACATCTGAAAGGGTGCTTCCTACGGAAAGAGTCAAGCCATAATTTTTTGAAACTTTGAACATTTTCAACAAGTCGAGCCCAACCCTAAATTTTTTGATCACACGAGTCCCAAGATTTGATTTTTTTCAGAAAGTTTAGAATTTTGATTTTTGCCATCTGTCAGGCTGAATATTGGCTGGAATACTCTATTTTACGAGGAAATAGATTATCGGTGAAGCTGTAGAGCCGTTATTAAGCTTAAATTTGAGCCTAGAACAAATTTCATAGGCTCAACAGATACCTTGCCTTCTCAGAAAAACAAAAATTGTTGAAACGAGAGACGGACAGATCGGAGCCTAAGTGAAGACTTGCCATGGATACTTATCGATAAACGGACTATCTCATACTGAATAGAATGAAATAACGTAGGCTTTACCTATCGTCGTTGTGTGAAAGGTAAAAAATCCACCTTCTACGTAGTTCTCACTCCACACCTTGAGATGGGCACCCCCAGTCACCCCAATAACAGGTGCCACAATGTTTGTTGTAGTTGATGGAGGATATTTGTTTCACAAAGTCGAATGACACCGTGATGATGACTCGATCAAGGCTTCTGTTGCAAACTACATTGGGTATGAATTTCAAATATCAAGGGAGGAATGAAGAAATCTACACCCATCAAAGTGCCTCAACAAAAATTCCTCTCCAATGAAAGAAACAGCAGCGCCTGATCGGATTCATCCGCAGCGAGATGGAAAACCAGGGAACTACCACCAAACCCCGCACAAATTTCGACTTCTGGGGAGTTTTTTTTTCATTTTTTTTCAACGCTTGGAGCGCACGAAAGGGAATCCCTATAATGTTCAAAGAACATCGTGCGTTCCTAGGGAGGATAGGGACAGGAGGTATAGGTATTGGATTTTTTTTTTGAACTTTTGGAGATTATATGTTGTTGGGAATACTTCCACAGGCAATGAATTCCAGAGCCTAGCCGTTCTATGGATGAAGGAGTCTTGATAAAGTGCTGTTCGATATCTTTCGAGGTTGACAACGAAAGGATGTGCTGACTGGGCTTGTCTAGTTCGTCTGATTGGTATTGCTAGTGAAGGGATGATAGCAGAGATTTCCGAAGAACATTTCCCGTGGAAGTATCGATAGAAAAGTGAAAGGTCGCCGACCTTTCTACGGTGTTCCAATGATGTCAAAGAGTGAGTGAGTGTGGCGTCACCCACCAGGCGAATGGCTCTTCTATGGATGGAATCTAAGAGCATCAGCGTATGTTTTGGTGCTGAACCCCATATGTGGGAACAGTATTCTAGAACAGGCCGTATTTGCGCTTTGTAGATCATGAGAAGCCGTTGAGGTGTAAAGTAGCTTTTCGCACGAAACAAGAATCCGAGTTTTTGTGAAGCAGCTTTTGCGATGGATCTGACATGATTATCCCATGAAAGAGCGTTCCTGATGGAAATACCGAGCATAGATATGGTGGGCTTGGTGGGGATGGTGGAGCCAGACATTACAATATCGGGCATACTGAGTTCCGCCTTTCTAGAGAAACACCGTCCACCACCACGTGAAGCGATCTGCCTGAAAGAAAACTCGATAAGAGATGGTTATCAACTTCGAAATAGCGATATTCAAATTAACAATCCAAAAATTTACAAACAAGCAGCAGATAATATCACATGAAACGGTTGTCATCATTGCAGATGATGTGGATCTACTGATTCTCCTAAATATATTGGGCTCCAGAAAAGTTATAGCGGTGAGACTGATTGTCAATAGTTCAATTCGACGAGTCTTAATCGATAAAACTCATCACACTGTCTCTGTTCTTCTCCTAGTTTTCTTGACATAGAATATGCTTCGATTCAGAGGATCCTCCACAGTGTACCGCGGAAATATCCGAGAGATCATCACGCTGGGAATAGACACATACATACCTCATCCTTCGAAAAGACTACCATCTTCCAAACCATGTTTCAACAAGAAATGTTCTGGAGTTGTTGTCTTGAAACAAACAGCATACCATCGCTGGCGGAAGGACCGTTACCTCGTGCATAGAACAGAATATGTTAAAGCAAGGAATACCTGCAGCCGATTATTTACATTTCACCAGCCTCTATAAGTCGGGTATCTTTCCATCTTGCTGGGGAATAGCTAGAGTCCAACCAATCCCAAAAATATGGAACAAAAGCCTTCTCAACAACTATAGGCCGATTTCCCTGCTCTTTGTTAGCACCAAAGTGATTGAGAGAGCTATCAAAATTGAGCTCATCAAATATCTGGAAAGCTCTGAAATCATTGATGATAGACAATATGATTTTCGCTACCAAGGATCAACTGTAGATATGCTTGCCTACGTCACCCATATATGACAATAAGCTCCATTGAAAAAACATGAGGAATCTCTATCTGTGGCGTTAGATATATCGGAGGTATTCGACCGTGTTTGGCACCAAGGACTGCTCCTCAAGACTACCATCATACCACCCCAGCTATTCCGTCTTTTATAGAGTTTTCTTTCAGGCAGATCGCTCCACGTGGTGGTGGATGGCGTATTGTCTGATACCATTGCCATCAATTCCTGTGTTCCACAAGGATCAATTTCGGCACCAACATTGTTTCTACTTCATATCAACGATTTCTTGGGAGCAACCACTTGCCCTATCCACAGCGTTGATATCCATACTGTGTTCTCTTTCAAAATTACCATTTCTTTCCAGGAAACTAAGAACTCACAACGACGGCAGGCCAACGCTATCAATGAAGATCTTGCGGAAACTATAGCCTAGGAAACCAACAACCTAGTTGAATTCAACGCCACCTGAACTCAAGCCTGTATTTTCATTAGAGAGGTGGAACTCAGTATGCCTGATATAACAATGCCTGGCACCACCATTCGCCAAAAGAACACTATACTTATGCTCGGTTATTACCATCAGCAATACTCATGGGTAAATCATAGAAACTAGGACTCTTGTGCCATGCGAAAATCTTCTTTATACCCCAACAGCTTCTCATAATCTACAAAGCACAAATACGGCCAGTTTCAGAATACTGTTCTCATGTATGGATTTCAGCACCCAAACATACGCTGATGCTGTAGATTCCATCCAGAGGAGAGCCATTCGCCTGATGGTGGGTGATGCCGCACTCACTAACTCATTGACCTCATTAGAACACCGTAGAAAAGTCGGCGATGTTTCACTGTTTTATCGATACTTCCACGGGAAATGTTTCTCAGAAATCTCTGCTATTATTCCATTATCAGCATTACCAGTCAGACAAACTCGACAGGACCATTTAGCACGTTCTTCCGTCGTTAAATATCTCGAACAACATTCTTCCACAACTCGTTCATGTGTGAAATGACGAAGCTTTGGAATTCTCTGCCATAGAAAGTAACCTTCAGGAATCGAAAAAAAAATCATCACCTACCTTCCCTCCCTCATCCTCCCTAGGTACGCACGATGTTTCACGAACATTATAGAACTCTCCTTTCGTGCTCTTCAAGAGTTAAAAACACGTACAGATGTGGGATGTTTCTGATTTATTCTCATTCCTCACATTGATACAGGGTAGCTGAACATTTTTTTGAATTCGGTACTTTTTGAATATGTTTTCCTCGAGTCAAATTGAACAAATCGTACAATTTTCAACTATCTATGTAGGATTATCACGTCGATTATGGACTACGTATTCGATTTTGAAAATTCAGACTGCTCTTATTCATAAGCAAGTTCTTTTGTGACTAGGTAGGTGGTTCTACATTTTATGTTCACGAGTATATATTTCACTCTACAGTGTGTCCCTGAATTACATCGGATATACTTCGAGACAGGTCCCTAAATGGAAGTGTATTATTCTTCTTCCTTTTTGTCCTAGAATCACCAAATCTGGTTACTCCCTGTATATTTATTTATGTTTCATGTTTTCCGTACCACGAAAAGATTTGTGAGCTCACGTTACCCTCATGTTGTTATCAAATTTCGTGATTCTATAAGGATCAATGTTAACATAGACAATTGAAGAAAACTACTTTCAGGGACCTTCAAAGGGCTGTAGTGACTTTAGGAAGCATTTTATTTTTATTTGTAGGATCACCTCTCCCAGATGCCCAGAGTATGCGGACGTTATATCTAAGAAACCTTGTATATTGACTTCACTATTATTTATTTGTATTTTATTTTTATAGTTCAGATACGGGTTAGAGTTCCTCCTTATCTTTATTATATCATCGATATAATTTGCTACACTGTGTGAAATTCGAACAAAATAGATTATCTTTTTTAGGCAAAATAACATGATTGCCGGACCAATAAGAAGATGTAAAAAAGTGTTTCCAGCAGTAGTATTTTTTGTAACAATTGTGATAATTATAATCTGGAGGATAGTGCACTTGAACAAAGAGGATGAACTAAATCCGAAACATATCTTTAGGTAAGATATCATAGTCTTCATCTATTCCAAAGAATATTTATTGAAAAATGAATGAAAATATAAAAATATCCTGCGATAATCAATATTGATAGCTTCGAATTCCTGGTTATTAGAATTTTCAATTTCTCTCAGAGAAATAATAGGTAATCTACCAAATAGACATGAATATTCCATAGGATTATACATACTCAATTGTTTTTCCGATATGGGGGTAAATATATGATAGACCATTTCTTATCGAAAAATACGCGCCTATTCTATGAAGATCGCCGTACATTATGCTATTTACTAGTAAGTTCGATCCAATGCAACTTTGTATCGAGAAATGCACATGCGTCTATGATATGTTATGGCAAGCTCCATGCTAGTTTCGTTATCAGAACCAGTCATATTTTTCTTGAAATGTCAAGGCAATATTAGTTGAATTTTCAGTAATCTTCATCATAGCAACTCACAATTTTCCCCATAACTTGACTCAAAACACCTATTAACCTCAGAAAGTATATTGAAAGCTCAAAAAACCTGAGAATAGTGAATATGAACAAGAAAATGTGACAGAAATATCATAATGTACTGCGAATTGCAATAAATTGAGATAATTGCGAAAAAAATGCATTGCCGCAAACTGGCCAAGAAATAGCAATAATGTACGGCGCAGTTTAAAATCACTGAGATCTATACAAATGCCTGAAATCGAATAATGCTGATCAATTTTTTCTTCTTTCTTTGATTCATGTGTTTCTCAGAGTTTCATTGGTATGAAATATGCTTTGAAGATCCGTCACAGTGTGCTACGGAAGGTTACGTTTAGAATGGACTAATATATACCTCATTCTTCGAAAAGATCATCACCTTCGAAACCCTGGTTCAACAAGAACTGTTCTAGAGCTGTTGCTTCGAAACAAACAGCCTACCATAGCTGATGGCGCTGGCCCCAATAACCTCGTTACTAGAGCAGGATATTTTGAAGCTAGAAATAACTGCAGCCAAACAATAGATGCATCAAAAGGACCATACAATGCCAAAATCAGATCAGAACTCATAGATTGTCATATTTGTTCCTGTTCGTTTTGGTACCGCGCGAAAGCAGTAGAAGGAAATTCCACTAATAGTTCATTCCCACCACTCTTCAAGGCCGACGGTATATTAGCAAAGAACATCGCAAGATAAAGCAAATATGAGGAGTGCCGCCAGATATTCCACCGTTTGGAAGTCGAATGCCCGAAATCGTCTTTCGTCAACGAATTATCAGACGCATTCTGCTTGGTCTCCAAACGAATAAGGCTAACGCTTCTGATGGAATTTCTTCCATTATTCTCAAAAGTGTGCACCAGAATCAACACCGAATTTCTGCAAGTTATTTACCATCTCGTACAAGTCGGGTATTTCCCATCTTGCTGAAAAATATCTACAACCAATCTTCAAAAAAAGGGACGAAAGAGTGCTCAACAAATATAGGCCTATTTTCCTGTAATCAGTTATCCCCAAAGTGATGGGTAAAGCCATCAACATTGAACTCATCAAATATCTGGAAAGCTCAGGAATCATCAATGATGGACGATATGGTTCTTGCCACCGAAGATCAATTGGAGATTCACTTGCCTATGTCACCTATATAAAAGTAATACATTTTACATAGAACAGTTAGAAACACGATTGTTTGCATTTCGAAAACAAGTGTGAATGAGAAATTTTTTGGGATCATTCTTGCACATGTTGAGATATTCACTCATAGTAGTTATATAGACTTTTGCGATGTCTAAGTATACGAAAGAGATTTCTATTGTGCTTGAGATGATCATTATCTTATGATTATTTTAAAAACTTGTGTGTGCTTTCTTCGTATAAATTACACAGTGATGAATAATATAGATGGAGAAAAAGGTGAGCAAGTTATGTTTTCGAAATATAGGTCGACAGCCTTGCCTATAATCAAGATGAAAATCACATTTTGAATTGACCTGGCCGGATGGAAATCCATGGCAAATGTAAAAACTTCACAAACGATAAGATTTCCACAAAAATTCTTGAACACACAACATGTTTCGCTAACACAGTAGCTAGCAGTAGTTCATTAGTACCAGTATATCACCTGACGAAGCTACTGTGTTAGCGAAACATGTTGTGTGTTTAAGAATTATGTGGAAATCTTATCGTTTGTGAAGTTTTCACAATTAATCTTATGTAACTCTTTTTTGAGAAATCAGAATTTTTACAGAGTTAGTTGTATTTCACCATAATAATACATTATTGCTCATATGCGAATAAACTAGTATTATGGTACATATTCAGCAACTGATGATGAAACATGAAAACATATTCCAGTTGAAGGAGAGCATAATACCCACTATCGATCCTTTTGCTCACATGATCTATATTATATGTTGTCCAACTCATATCAGAGTCGACAAACGTTCCTAAAATTTTTGTGGATTTTCATAGTTCAATAGGAGTATTATTTACCATTACTCTGAATAGTCTGAATGTATTATATTGAGTTTGAGTCTTGAGGATAATTGCATACAAACAGTCTTGAATGTATAAATGTGAGTGTGGCGGTCCGGGACCTGATGCACTTAGGCCTCCCTTTGGAGCCCATTGTGCACCAACATTCCTGGGATCGCTAGTCAGCCATGAAAAAGGCCTCGAAAAAGGCCGATCTCGCAAGCAAAAGAAACCAACTTCCTAGGCAGTCTTATTCGCATTTACAATAGGACGATTTTTTGAGTTTTAGTTAGTGAAATTCCTATGGCAAGCTACATTAGAAACTGAATCTAAGGCATTTGCCCGTGCTTGACACCAAGGATTCATCCACAAACTATCACCATACGGTTTACCACCCCAGCTATGTCGTCCTTTACCGAGTTTCCTTTCAGGCAGATCGCTCTATGTGGTGGTGAACGGAGTATCAACTGATACCATCGCCATCAATTTCGGCGTTCCAAGCCATGTGGTGGTGAACGGAGTATCGACTGATACCATCGCCATCAATTTCGGCGTTCCAAGAGGATTCATTTTGGCACCAACATTGTTCTTACTTCTAATGAATGATCCGTTGGGAGCAATCAATTGTCCTATCCACAGCTTTGAAGATAATAGAACTCTCCATACTGCGTTACCTCCCAGAATTCCTATTTCTTTCAAGGAACCTGAGAACTTACGACGTAGGCAGGACGAAGTTGTAAATGGAGGTCTTGTTGAAATTACAGCCTGGGGATTCACCAACCTGATTGAATTCAGCGCCACCAAAACTCAAGCATGCGTCTTTTCTAAAAAGGCGAAACACAGTATGCCTGATATAACAATGTCTGGTACCACGATTTCCACCAAGTCCACTATATCTATGCTCGATATTTCTATAAGCAATAGTCTCCCATGTGAAAATCATGTTCCATTCATCGCGAAAGTTGCTCCACCAGAACTCGAATATTTGTTCCGTGTAAAATTCTACGTAACACCTCAACAGTTTTCTTCGTTAATCGATTGTCAGCTAGCCTAGTGTGAATGATGAAGCTTAGCAAGCCGAAACAGTTTCTGTGTTGCATCAGTTGACAGTCAGTGTCCCATTTATAAGCCATTAGCTTCATACTGTAATCATTTGTCCAGTTTTGATACCTTGTTCAATGCTCTCGAAAACCCCTCCAAAGACAAGATGAAAACTATATCTCATTTTATATGGAGCATGCTTAAACTGCGCTCATTCATCATCAATGAATAATGTTTTTATTGCTATATAGATGTTATTAGTCAGTAAGCAGAATGTAGTTGATTAGAAAATGTACCAAATGCTATTTTATTTAGTTATAAGTTCAATTCGCTAAAATTGTAAAAGTTCATTATCTACATATTTTTTGTTTGTTTTTCTCTCACTTTTTTTTTCGCTTTATCCCTAAGCCATATAATCATTGTACAAAGAACCTAACTCACTTGTTATGAAGCATGTATGTTTTTATAAGCAATAAAGATCTATCTATCTATATCTATCTATCTATCTATCTATCTATCTATCTATCTATCTATCTATCTATCTATCTATCTATCTATCTATCTATCTATCATTACAAGGAATTCTAGAATCCAGAGTTGAAATTATGTATATTAATCTTCTCTCTAGATCATTTGGAATTTTTCCTCCTCGTTTTTATATACAAAATCTATCTGAATCATTGCGATTATCTCTCCTCATTTCTATAACTGAATCAGTATTATTAAGATAAACGTACTCAGGACAAATTCGATTGATTGCCCTGAAATGTCATTGCGGTCAAAATGCCGCTATAAGAAACCAGAACTAGAAACCAATCTATGGTCAGTGATACCTTGTACAAAAATTGAAACGATATCTATTTTTGAAAAAATGAGGGGAGAAAATCCAAATAATTAACGTACAGTATTTTTCATCCAGATATTCACATACACCAATTTAATTTTTCCAGGAAAAACAACCAAGAAGAATATTATGATAGGCAAGGCATCAAAGTAGTTGTAGGACATTATGTAGGAAATTCTGTAAATAATATACCAATCGCAACATATGATATGATCAATACAAACAAGTTCAACCCAATATCTAGTGCAGGAAGGAATGGATATCCTGTAGTTATCGAACCAAAGGATTTGGTGGAAATGCAACAACTTTTCCAGATAAATAAATTCAATTTATTGGCAAGTGATAGGATTCCACTGAATAGAAGTTTACCTGATTATCGGAGAAAAAAGTAAGTTTTTTGAATATCAGTTTCTACGAATTCTGTTAACAAAATATACTCCAATTGTGTTATTTGTGTACTGTAAGTGTGTTATACGGTCATTTCCAAGGAAGGCAGATTTTCTTCGCTCATCTCAAATCTTTAGACTTTTGGGAGGTAGGTATATAATCGGAATTCAGAATTGTGTTCAAATAAGATGGGTACTATATAACTAGAAGTCAACTAGATGGATCAGCCTGCATTCTCATTCACGAACAATTCTCCGAACCGAATATACACAGTGCCATTCGTAAAATCGTAGGAGAATTTCGTAGGTTAGAGCTGAAAGTGATATTTTCATAATAACAGTTCTGTTTATTCTATCGTTCAAGTGTTTGTGAGGGACACTTCAATTATTTTCCTCATTAGATATCTGAGTTGAATAGTTTTAGTTGAGACGCACATGAGTGCCACAGGAAATTGACAATTACACATCTATATTATTCAAATAGGATCAAAATTTCATATATCTGATAGAATACATCTTTGAATAAACTTCCACACATACTCACATACTGATACATTATTCGCAAACAACGATAATGTTTTACTCAAACTACCGAGTGACTGCTGTACAAGCCGACCCTCCTTGACATCCAGAATATACTAATATACTATTTTTCCCACCCCTTTGTTGCTTATATAACATCTCTCGATCTGATTCCATCGAACAATTATTGAGAGTGCCCACCGCTGCTCAATAATATTGGGTATTCGGATATTATAAGAATTTCCTTCCAAGCGCTCCAAGAGATGAAGAAAATACACTAGTATATTTTAGAATAGGTAGAATGTTCTAGATCCATCTGGTACGCACTGCTCAGTGGGATCGTCGAAGTTTCTCACCTGCTTAATGATATATCATCTCTGCTCAGAGCAATATCACAACACTGCCCTCTCCTTGGAACCCATGTCTTCTGAAACACACTTTGCTCGTTATGGAGATTAAAGTAGCATAAAGCACTGATTTATCTCTTGGGTTTTATTCAGGGATCGAACAAAATACCAGAATTAAAATTCTGGTGAATCGAGACAAAACCTCCAGCCTGTTTCTCACAATTCTCAAATAGAGTTCATCTAATTCACAAGTCAGCTTGGAAAAGCTACTTTTTGTATGCTTTTGTCAAGTACGGTGCTTTGTTGGTGGACTTGCCTATCCTAGAGGTCCTTATTAGTTGGTTTGTGACATGATTGAATGATGTAAAAGTAGCAAGGCAACGATTCATCTCTTGGATTTTCTCTGGGTATTGAACAAGATATCAAGAGTTCAATTCCGGTGAATCGAGACGAATCCTTCATCACGTTTCTCACAATTATTCTTCAATCTACATAGTCCATCCAGTCCAAAAGTTATCTTTGGAACAGCCATCTTTTGTATGCCCTTCTCAATAATGTAGTCCAGTCGAAACAAGGTTTAACCTCCTGGAAAATCCGAAAGTGTTGAAACTTTGCACACCTATTTGAAGGTACCTAGAGATTAATATACCGAAAGTCCTCGTGAATATGAGGCTAGCACTAGCGACAATTAGCGGATTCTTTTTGCATAATTGAAGCTCATTGAATTTGCAACAAAAATAATCATATACACTTTTCTGGATCTCCTAATGGTTACCAAGTTATAGGGCGCTAAAAGATAGCGTTCTTTATAAATCTACAAAAAAATGCTGAGGATATTACTAGGAGAATTGTGTGCAGAAAAATCGATCAACTCTTCACAGTAAAAGGCCCTGCAATCTGCTCATCTTGGTCTGCATTCGAACTTGTTGGCTGAAAAGAAGTAACTATGCATGGGATGATGATGTGAGAGAACCATTATATAAATAAGAACATGAAGATGAGAGGAAGTAGATAAGCGAGCAGTAAAACAACGTATGAACATGACGACCGATCTATGTATACTATTGCAAGGTGAATGTATAACGAAAAAAACAAACAAATATGCAATCCCACCTGAGTTCTGGTTGACCGTCCAGCAAACACAGTGTTTTGATCTTCATGTACCAAATGTTCAGTGTTTGTTTTCAGCACTGAATGCTCTATTTCTTCAAGATTCATAATATCGGGATCATCAGAGTCATCTAAGTCCTCTTCCATTGTGGAAGTAACACCATTTAAGCATTCGCCATGACAGTCGTGACAAATGCTTGAACACATCATTACTGACTTTCGACAGCCACATCTGTTTCCACATCCACTTGCACATTTGCAACAAATGAGGTTGAGGACAGCTTCAGGTGCTGCAGGATCCTCTGTTGTCACAGGGATCAGTCGATCGCTTTCCAACTTTCATCCCCACTGTGCAGGAAGTAGTTCATTCCCAAGCCCGAATTGAATTTGGTGGTATACTCGGAATGCGTGCTGCCTTGCTGCTCCCTCTGTGAACGGCAGAACAGAAAGGTCGGGTTCAGCATTGGATACAGATTTGGTGAGAGCTTTCTAGCGGTGCATGTTAAGAGACGTTTGCTTCTTGGGCGCATTGTACAATGCCAAGGATATTTTGTTTCCAGCAGCAGCTACAGCCTCACGGGATGAAATTGGGCTGTTGAATATATCAGCAATACCTTGCAGTAGAGTTTGCTCCTTAAACAATTTGAAACAGGAAAGTTCCCCTTTTCGAAATGCAGCCGAAGTCGTATCGCATCCGCTGAACGCATGAAGAAGAAGTATGCAGTCCTTCATTCCCAAAGTTTGCAATTGATGGCTAAACTATACTTTCCTTCCTAATTTGCCATGACTTGGTTTCACAAATAATATGTCTTGTTCAGTCGGAGTTGAGACCATGAGGAAGATAATGAGATCTACATCTTCACTGACTATTGCTACTTTGTCACAAGTGAAGGATTTCACAAGTGCTGTTCGGACGATCAAACAACATCCATGGCTGTTGAGGGTAGTTATAAGGAAGGAAATTGGTCTAGATTTATTCTTTTTGTGAGAAAGAAAATCATCATGTTTGACTGTTACTACTGTGTTCTCTCCAAAGTTTATGTCAACTGACCTCTTGGAGCGAAGGGTGGGTAACCTACACAAACCGAATTGAACGTTGAATGTTTTTTAAACATAATGCGCTTTAACGCAACGATTCTCAAGATATTAACGAAAAATCAAAAAATTTACCTGTCTCCCCTAATTGCCGCTAGAGCTCGCATCATATTCATGAGGACTTTTGGAATATTCATGCCTAGGTACCCATAAATCAATGTGCGAAGTTTCAAAACTTTCGGATGGTTCAGGAGGTTGGGTCATTTTTTGAGGTTTTTGGCTGGACTAATGGTGCTTCGTAGGTTGTCTGGCGTATCCCAGAGATCCTTGTAAGTTGGTTTGTGAGATGACCTCTTATTCGTTTTCAGATGAAACAGTGACCTCGAACGATGTACGGAACTATTGTTGAAGCTCCTCCGAGTTGCCAAATTCATTCAAGAACATATTGGCATGGATTCGTCGAACCGAAGCTCCGTTTTTTCCAACCGTACCTACCTGTGCACTTGTTGATCCTTACTCCTCTCGAATTCTTGAATAGTGCCAGTCTATTTGAATAAACAACTCTCAGTTTGTCATTATAGATGCCCTACTGCTACTCTGAATAATATTGTTGATCATCTTCTTGATGTTATGTGACTTTCTGAGATCTCTGACGAATACCTGGTCTTCACATTGGATCGTACAATGTACAACCACAAGAGTTCTGATATAGTATGGGTCCGTCATGCAATCACTGACGATTTTGAGATTAGAACGAAACAATTATTGAATATAGTTCATTTGCCTCCTCAAGTTACTGATTGAATCTTCTCCCAGCACATTCGCACGAGGTCTGCAACCAAACACCAAATCACATGGAAGCAACATCTCTCGTTCGGACAGTATTTCCGCTAGAGTCTATTGTATGTACAGCTTATCTGCAGGATACTGAGAAGGGAGGTGTGTATGTTTTCTCTGATCTCTCCATCTTGCCATCAGACTGTAGACGTGCTCAACTGCTCAGCGATTTCAGCTCTGCTCGGGCGGATGACATTAAAATACATCAATATGGAAAATTTCACTCACCGGGGTAGGGAAAAATAATCTCTGCGTTAGCCTGGGAGTGCTATTTGAAACATCTCACTAATTTCTAATATGAAATATTATCTCCATAGTTTCTGATAGGTGTGTCTGGATGAGGAGTTGATACCAACAGATAATCTATTTCAAAGACTTAAAATCGCGTGAACTCATGGTACATATGAACGTGAACCTTTCAATAGATTTTTTATCGTATATTCGATTATTGATTGATGATTTCTTTGTTGATTGTTTCAAGATGTACTATGCTCTTCAAAGACTACCAGAGCTACCCAAAAACCAGTATAATAATAGTTTTCCACAACGAAGCTTGGTCGACTTTGCTGAGAACTGTATGGAGTGTTATAAATCGATCTCCACCAGAACTGATTGAAGAGATAATATTAGTCGATGATGCCAGTGAAAGAGGTGAGTAAGAACATTCCTAATCATGAAATCAAAAGTCTTAATTATGAGTTCAATTTTGTGTTGTTCACAATTTGGTGGTGAATTTCGCTGTAGTAGGGAATGTGTGTTGTTTTCTGAAGAAGTCTCGTTGACTGTAATTTTAAGTTCGAAGGGTAGGCAAAGGAATAGAGGAAATATGTGTGAGAACACACAGCATATGATTGTTCGTCAAAATAGCTTCAGAATTTCAGCAAAACAACATTAGGATAAAATTCAACAGGAACGTTTATTCTGAGTACAGAAGAAAATATCGATAAATTCATATAACACATAAAATACAGCTACAGTGAATATGGTTGGAAGGTGAGACTCAAGTCAGCGGTAGAGGTAGATTGCTCAAATTCTCAGAGATAAAGCTTCATGGTATTGTTCAACACAGTCTCACGATGAGTTATCCATCGACTTTCCAAGTCTCGAAATACTCGAATAAGAATTTTAGTTCATATTACTTAATTCAATATTCAGAATGGATGATAATCAATAATGTACTCCTACAACTTTCTGCCTATTTTTCTGCACTCGTTCACTTCACATTTCACGATGAAGACTGATGACACAGACACAAAAATCTTTGGAAGAAGTCCATGGTAACTCGAAGTGTAGTGGTGACGTTCATAGATGATGACCCAAAGTCACCTACACAACTTTCATCAGAATGATCAAAGATCAATTGTAACGAAATATGTTTCGGGCTCATATAAGCCCATCATCAGCCAACAGAAGGTATCTTAGTTCTAGAAAAATTGGTATTGACTTAGGATATGAATGCAATAATTACTTAGTACTTACATGGGAATAAGAAAGTCGAATACGAATAGCATTGTCAAACAGGGACATATGCTCCATTATCTGAAGAACAATGGGTTAGATGAACAAATCGGAAAGCTCACTGTCTCTGTGAAATGATGTGATATTTTACTAGGGCCCACGTGCCCTTGAATTACCGAAAGGTGATAGTTATACGTTGAAAAATCAATCTGCGAAAAGTTTGATGAGGCATCCAAATAACCTGATAAAGTGATTCTGATATGATTCTTCCACTTTATTTTGATGCCTCATCGAATTGTTTATTTTGATTTTTCAACGTTTAATTATCACTTCCCGAATGAAAAACATGAACCCGACCCCTAACTGTTTCAATTAAGTTTTCAAGAGACAGTGAGTTTTTTACTTTGCTCCTTAATATTTCTTAAACCCATTGTTTTCCAGATCATGGAGCATATTTTCCTGTTTGCGTTGATATTAACTATACTATTTGTATTCAAATTCTTTTAAGTACTGAGTATATATTGCATCTATATCCCAAGTCAATACTGATTTTTCTAAAACTATCATACTTTGTAATGTACTAATGTATTAGCTGATGATGGGCTTATATAAGCCCGAAACATGTTCCTTTACGATTGATCTTTGATCATTCTGATACAATTTGCGGAGATGACTTCGGGTTTTCACCTATAAATATATTATGTTGTACCATCACAATAATAGTATATTTTGGGAACATCAATGAATACGCGATTTTGTTCACCACTAGTTGTAGAACCAATACCATCATCTACTCTTTTTCAAGGCGTGAAGGGTATTTTTCTCACCAAGGTTTTCTTCTTCATTTTATGAAATAGGTACTAGTTAATGAATGAATATCCACCTCTCTTATAATTAACATGACTTCACTGTTTTCATGCGAGACTCGTAGGAATGGTACTCGAATCTAGTAGGTATTTATCAATAACGACTTGTCATATGCTGTAATCATGGTCATGCCTTCTCTAGATTTGAACTAGAATTGAAAATGAAGTGCTTTCATAGTGACACTAGGTCCATCTTCCAGTTCCACCCAAATATAATGATTGAAATATAATGCTAGTGTTGAAAATAATTCCAAATTCACCTTGGTAGTAAAGGATATTATTACCACAGGACCTTATATTCCAAGGCTTGATCCCTGGGTAATAATATGATATTCTCTACTAATCTGGTGTACAAATAACTATTTTAGCACTGACAAATTTGCTAGCAGCATGCTATCAATAGAATAAATGAGTCATCGAATTGCCAGCTATGTAGTGTTTGCTGAATGTATTCCATATTATGAGAAATATAACTTTGTGTCGGATCACCACAACCGCATCCAGTGAAGCATGAGAACTTAGTGAAATGCTACAGGATTCTGCAAAGAATTCTGTCTTAGACGTAGTTCTTAGCTCATCAGTATTTTCAATCGTGGATATTGAAGGTATCCACAAAATTTGCTCTTGTAAAATCGCCCTTCATCTCATGAACAGTAAGAGTTAATCAAAATATGATTAGGGTAAATCTTTGTCTTCACAAAAAATTAGAATAGTACCGTGAAAGTCGCAAGTCTCTATTCTCAATAACAACCGAGATACCTGACGGTCTAAACCGGAGTGCACTGTGAAATAATATTTTAAAGCTATTGGAAATTCAGAAAAACATTCGAAAATAAATTTATATCCATGAATCGAATGAATCATCGGAATATTCAAGATGATGATTGTTGCAATAGCTTTCGTATATATTCTCCTCTAAAATGTGGTAATGGTATTTGTTAAGGCAGATCTTCTTCTAGTGACTTTTTGAAGTGAGTTCCAAATGACGAAGGCGAAATTTATCGGATGTCTTCAATTACAATTTTTCCAATTATTATTTTCAGAATTCCTCAAGAAGCCATTGGAAGACTACGTCCAAACCTTGCCAGTAACAACCCGAATAATAAGGAATGCTGAAAGAACAGGTCTCATCAAAGCAAAGCTGAAGGGCGCTGCAGCAGCCAATGGCGAGGTCCTCACGTTTCTAGATGCCCACTGCGAGTGCACCATAGGGTGGTTGGAACCTCTTTTATATGTGATAAAGCATAACAGAAAAGCAGTTGCTTGTCCTGTTATCGATATTATAAATGATGACACGTTTGCTTACGTCAAGAGCTTCGAGTTACATTGGGGAGCTTTCAATTGGAATTTACAGTTCAGGTGAACATTCTATCTGAGTGATAAAACCACTGGCGAAACTAAGAGGAAGGGCTTAGAGGCTAAAGTTTTCCCCTTCCCTCGCGAATCAACTTCCTCACGAAAGATTTATAATATTCTATGAATCGTATCGAAAGGCACCAATTAAATGATATAGTGATCAAAATAAAACTTGGTATGGGTTCCCTTTTTCCACCCAAAGTACTACATTGTAGCAATTCTGACATCACATCGGTTCAAATTTTTGTGTGCGCAAGGTACAATCATTTTGATTGTATTTAAAGTGGCGGTGTAGGTACTTGACTTTTTTCCGTTTTTTAGCAGTAAAAAATTTTCGAAAATTATGTGATTTTACTCACCATCGTTTGAGATGCACTGATTTGAGGCGGCAACGCTGCGGTCGGCTGCGATGAAAGCGTGGAAGCACTCGAAGGGACGGTACGGATATTTGGCAACCTGTATGTCTCTTAAATTTCAATTCGTCAGACTCTAATAGTCTTTTTGTTTCTGTTCCTCAAAATGTAGACAAAAGTTGACCACTTTTCATCGAAAGAAAAATAAAATTCATAATTTGTATGATATCTTCCTCCTTCTAATGCTGTGATGCATTCAGATGTAATAGTTGTGTCATCAATCCAAAACCCTGTGGTCGAAGTGTAGACCAAGTAGTAGCAAACCAGTCACCAATCAAAAAACTCTCCTCATTTTGTTTCTTCTCAGTAAACTAATCATTAGAATTGGTCTAGCGTCCCCCATCGTAGGAAAACGTGATTGGTATGGTATGTATTGGTATGTGTGAATCACATCATAGGAACCAATAAGGACATTGGTGTGCTACGACGCATCTTCGTATACGTCACTGCGTGAACAATTTTGAGCGAGTATACACTCGCAATGACGTTATGCGCAAAAAAGACGAATTCAAGATACCTGAGTTGCACACCATATTATATTTCATTCGTTTCATTTATTTGGTTGTTCACCGATATTAATTTTAGATTTTCTAACACTGGCACAATGCCAGTAACTCAAGCAACTCGCCAGAAATTTTGTTGATATTCAAACCCCCAAACTGTTTCATTCGAGAAGGCCTATTCTATTGCAAAAAAAGTTGGAACACGGAAACAAAATGTGAAAAGGAGAATGACAATCTTGATGAGGAACTAAAAAACATTTTGAAGGTTGAAACTACAAGTTCAAATTCTTAAACTCAAGAGCTACATCGTATTGTCTTTTCAGGTTTGCCTTTCGAGCTGGGCGCCACAGATATTCATCATTGATTAAACAATTCGTCCAAACATTGTAATTTTATTCACCTTATATCCACCTCCCTAACAACACGAGTACATCCTAGGGACTTCCCAGGGACGTCCCTAATTTCAAATAAGGACATCCCAGGGATATCTTTTCTGGGACAAAGTACATACTAGGGACGTCCCAGGGACATCCGCTTTCAGACAAAAAGGACATCCAAGGGATGTCCCTCCTGGTACGTCCCTGGGATGTACCGAGTACAAAGAAGGGACATCCCTAGGACGTCCCAAGGATATCCCAGGGACATCATTTCGACAAAAGAAAAAAAAATGTAGGTCTAGTTGGGATTGAACCCGGGACCTTCAGCTTATCAGGCACGCACCTTACTCCATTGGCCAATATGCCTTCTGAAGATTCATGTATTGAACAGATTTATAAACAGGACAACTACAGAAACCTGGATAAATAAAACTGTTAGGATTCGGGTATAATTATTATCATTCTTGGGTGTTTGAAAATGAGGGGCATTATGCATTTACGATCTCTGTTTGCGAAAAATGGTCATTTCTTGAGAAGTTTCGAGACTATATTCTTTATTTTCCTCACAATTATTTTCCGGAAGAAATACATTTTCGAAAAAATTCGACTCAATATTTTGATAATATTGAATGACTCTCTGATGTGAAGAATGGATATCAGATATTCCAGGGACACGAATGGGATAACCTAGGGATGTACCGGGTGGGATGTCCACTGGACAACTACTGGCGGGACATCCCCTGGATGTCCCAATCATTTCCTTGTACCGCGGGACAAAAAAGGGACGCACCTAGGACATCCCTGTGTTGTTAGGGCTTCTATTCGCCTCCTAATAGTGAAATGTTTATGGAAACATATAGGTACTCTTGGAAATTAGGCTTAGAATAAACATCAGGTACTCAATACCATTCAAGAACCTCATTTGAAATTTTGTCTATCGATTTCCTTTTTTTGTTTCTGATAGTGCTGAGACATTGAGCTTCACTCACCCTGTACAATATATTGTGACATTTGAATGAGAATATATAATTTCAATCGTGTATTCATTTGACTTCCTCAATAATAATTTCTCAATGATAATAATTGATTGCAACATCATTTTACCCAAATGAAAATTATTTAATCATGCTTACTCCCTGATGAAAGCAAAAAAACTAGAAAATATTTCAAATAATGCGAGCGCTTTCCATTAGCCAACATAAGATAGAAAGATATCCGTAACCACTGCATGTTTGCCTGAACAATATTTTTTCCTCACTCGTCGTGTGATCAGCATATTGCTGTTCAGCCATTGTAAAGTCGTTCTGGTTTCTGGTGTACAGAAGAGCATATAAGGATGTCAGCTAAAATCGACCGACGCGGCCTGACAATGAAGGCAATTTTTTTCGATGTATATAAGTAACAGTGCATTATATATTCCTATTAGTTATTAATTTATCGATAAACTCACGGGGGTTGGAACATTTGCTTTAACAGCAAAAGGATAAAACTCCGGAACTGAAACTTCTGCTGTCGGTTAAAAATTACTGCCAAGCACCGTTTTTTATGTCACCGTCGGTCATATATGACAGACAAAGCCTGTTATAGAGAGAGAAAAACAGGGTCCCGGCAGTCAAAGTGATAATTGATTTTTCTTCCGATTTCTTATATATATATCACCTTGTATATGCATGAACACTCCATTTTTCGCACTGATATTGAAGCACATATTTTACTTTCAGATGGTATACCCTAGGAGCGAAAGAAATGAAATTGCGTAAACAAGACGCAACGCAGCCATTCAACTCTCCGACCATGGCTGGTGGTCTTTTTGCCATGGATAAAAAATATTTCTTCGATATTGGTGCTTATGACGATAACATGAATGTATGGGGAGGCGAAAATTTGGAGATGTCATTCAGAGTGTGGCAGTGTGGAGGAAAAATTCAAATCGCACCATGTTCCAGAGTTGGGCACATTTTCAGGTAGTTCATATGAACAGGGTGTTCCACGACGAGAGGGACAAACTTGGTCTCAGAGTAGAGGACATCGAGGCGAGTCTGAATAACCTTCATGATAGGGTTCAATGTCTTTCTTTTGGGATATACCGGGTGACAACGAGATCATTTGACAGAGTGTCATTCGGTTGTTTCTTATATTAGAATTCTATATTAAGAAACAGTAATTTTTTAGTTTTTTATATCCCATACTTTGACTTAGGTCAAGAATTTTTGATGGAACATTGTATAATTGTCTAATTATAGATCATTAGCTCAATTGGAGTCCTCATATAGATTCATTATGTGATTAACTACGAAAGAACTGTTATGCACTGAGATTTATTTCGAATCATTGTGGAATAGAGGTCCTGCTAAATCTGTATTATGCAACTATTGGCTGTCACCTGCGCTATGGAATCCTAAATTGGGGTATGAGCTCTTCTGTTGAAAGAGTATTCATTCTACAAAAACGCGCGGTCAGAATAATTGCTAATTTAGGATGGCGACAATCATGCAGAAACTCATTTAGAGTGCTGGAAATACTCACAGTTGCTGCTCTGTATATATATGAGATATGTCTCTACGTTTATAAGAATAGAGATAAATTTAGGGCAAACCAACAAGACCACCCTTATCCAACGAGAGCAAGAGGTTTGCTGATAGCAAACCCTCACCGAACCTCCCTTTATCAGAGGAGTCACCTCTACCTTGGACCCAAACTATTTAACAAGCTAGATGTTTTTATTAAGGATTCAAAGAATATCTCCATATTCAAAAGACAATTAAAAAAATATCTCATAGAAAGAAACTGCTACACCGTTGACAAGTTTTAGTAACTCACGATAATCAATAAATCACCCATCTGTATATGTCCAAATTAATAGGTGTCAAGTTTTGTCGTTTAATATAAAATGTTTGTTTTTTTTCTATATATATATTTATCTCCTACTCTCTTATTCATACACAAACGTATTCCTTGTTACTGTACGTAAATGTTTATTGTAACGCTTTCATACGGTTTAACAAGTGAAATAAATATTATTATTATTATTATTATTATTATTATTATATATTCTCACGTCATTCGATAGAGCGAAAAATGAACCCTTTTCAATGGCATATCAAAAGTGTAAATTTTTATCAAAATGGCGCCATAGAAGACATTTTGTCTAAAATCAATATGGCAACACTATTCCAATAAACACACAAATGTTTTTCAGACGTTTATGATGCCACATACACCAATTGTATGCTAAATAACTATTTACTTACCCTATATTCGGAAAATACGTCGAAATCTACCTCGGAATTTACATTGAATTAACGTTTATGATAATAGTATATCTATCTCATTGCAAGTAATGACATTATAACGTTGCATCATTAGTTTCTTATTAGATTATGATGAAAAAACTTCGTATTTATTACGTTGAGATGAAACGGCCTTATTTTGGCCAAAATAGAACCCGTTGTTTTCTCAACGCAACACGGTTTATCAACCATTGATACGTTGATAACATCACGTTCAATAAACGTATGTGTGTTTACTGGGTATGAAGGCATCGATTTAATTTCTTGCAAGCAACTTCATAGAATTGAAGATATACGAAGCACAATGATTAGTTTTTTATGGAACTTCTAGGACATGTTGATTCATTGCCAATCAGGATTCCTTTCAGTAGATCTTTCGAACGATATTCTCTCTCTCGAATTTTCTCTAGAAATTTGAATAGATCAAAGTATAAGTCATTATATTCAGATAACTGCTTGACACTACACCTCTTGTTTCTATTTTTGAATAAAACATTATTGAAGGCCATCTTCTTCATCAACCTCACCTAAATAAATAACTCCAATGATTTTTCAATTGGAAATAAATACAAGAGGTGTAGTGTGTCAAGCATTCATCTGTATATAATGACCTATACTGTGGTGTTCATTTAAAAAAGTACCATTTTCTATTTGTTGTTTTCGAAAAAATTCAAGAGGGCGAATTTATTGAAGAAGAATATCCTCAGATGAAATTATGAACAAAATGAATAAATATATATACAGGGTGGGCCACCAGTAACGCCTCGGTCTCTAGAAGGCTAACCACTTATCTTCTTGGAATTCTTCCTCTCTAGGAAGTTGCATGTCAACATAGGCTACCATTTGAAATTATTTCGAAACATACAGGGTGTCCCCAAAAACCATAAAACACTGAAGTTAAACTTTTTTCTATCGAACACCCTATATATTATTTCATTTTGAGATTCTCCCTCATGAGCTGATTTCAACGACCCATCATACTTGGGGTCTAGCAGTTATAATTACTGAAATATAGGGTGTGAAAAATCGAGATTTTCCAAGTTCAAGAATTTTTTGTGTCGAAACTATTTATAATTGGTCAAAACGGCTTACTTGTCCCTATCTCAACTTTTGATTAACTATCTACTGATATTTAATTGGGACATATACCGGGTGATCAAGATTCTGAATTCTGCACCACCCTGGTGGTAAAATCACCAAATTGCCGTCTTTCTCCTGATAAAAATATATCAGGAAAGATTAAGAGGAAATTTCGACCCTCAATCTCTACTTCGAACAAAGAAATGTTTTCTTCCAGAACTATAACGAACAATGTATCAGGAAACGGTTCATCCTTGTATTATTGATTCTCACCATCAAATGACGAAAAAGGTCCACCAATGTTTCAAGAATTCAACTGAATTTTTTTGTAGTCCATGTGAAATTTTTATCAGGTAATCAGCAACAATCCCGAAAATAGCAAGCTTTTGATTAGAGAGGTTGAATTCACAATATTCTGATTATAATAGACCAATTATTCAATTCAGAATAAGAGAACAATTTTCATCATCTCATTCTGTCATGTAATTTTTGAATTGAAAAATGAAGGTGGTTTTCACTTCCCAACCAGCACTCAGCAAAATGTAGGGAGTGAATTATGTACGCGAAAGTGTGAATAGAATGAGGGAATACCTAATGACGCTGAATCATGGAAAACGCCCCCTTGCATGATATTGATATAATAAAAATGTACCTTTCAAAATATAAATTCAACCCTTTCTAGTAGAAATACCATAAACTTTTTCCGAAATTATCATCACATGCTTTTCTGATCTTGATCACATATGGAGTATATCAAATTTCAAATTCAGCATAATTAACCAGAAGTTAAATTTATTTGCAACCCCTATTTGATGATGGTGAGAGTACGAGAATAGTATATTACATAACTAGTGTGGAAAGTGACATATTTTGCGCGAGTGGACGTTTAGCACGAGCCGTAGAGCGGCGAGTGTGGAAATGAAACGAGCGCAGGAAATGAACTTTTCAACGAGTTTTGTACACTAATTTTCCTACGACCACAAATATTCATATTATATGTCATGAGTGTTTATAAGACCAGAGTTGGGATCATGTTTCTAATCATATTCGATCACATGAAGGTGATATCATTATCATCCCAGACAGCACTAGATATTCCATGAATATTCATAGAATATTCTTTTTGGATATTGCGAATATTCATGAACATGCCAGGAATATACATATCATCTATGGAATATTCCCTGAATGTGCTGGTGGGGAAAATTTTATATATTCCCAGAATATTACACAAGGAATATTCCTTATATATTCAGAATATACCTATAATATTCTAGGAATATTCAGATAATATTCGGAATATTCCAGGAATAATACAGGAATATAAATATATGAATATTCTGGGAATATTCCTCAGTACATATTCATAATTAAAAAAAGCTGACCCAAGATGGGCTCGAACTCGGGACTTTCGGACTGTCAGGTCAACGCCTTAACCACTAGGCCAGTAATCGACTTGAATAACGTTGTTCAGAAGCGGATCATAAACACTTCCTGTTCCATATGGGCTCTTAACATGTACAATGATCTTTGAGTACTTTGATCACTAACTATCAAAATTGTGGAGACGACTTTGTGTTTTTGATCCCTGGTAATATAACCACTTTACTTTGAAATACGATGGACTTTCTACTACAGATTTCAAAATCAATGACTCACATCTATAAAATAGTGATTGGTGAATTTCCATACTTCACAATTTCATTGAAACACATAAGAATATTATTGGAATATTCCATGAATATACAGGAACAGAATATTCAGTTGGGAATACTCCTGTAATATTCATACCTGAATATTCCCTGCCCTATCCAACTGGAATATTCTAGGAATATTCACTTTAGAATATTCCTTCTGGAATATTCCTCGTATATTCATTTTGGAATATTACTAGAATATTCACATTTGAATATTCCTTGAATGTTCCAGAGGCACGTATATATTCTAAGAATATTCGAAGGATATTCGGAATATATTCTTCTCTTTTAGGATATTTAGAGAATATTCTAGGAATATCCAGTGCTGTCTGGGATTATTATTCAATTTTACTTCAATATTCAAATTACATCATTAGTTTAACGTTAACTTAACATCAACTCAATATGAACTTCACATCAACTCAACATTAACTTAAAATCAACTTAACATCAACTTAACATCCACTCAACATCAACTAAACATTTTAACAGTTTCTACACTTTAACTTGAAATCAACTTAACATTAACTCAACATCAACTCAACATTAACTTGAAACTAACCTAACATTGACTTAACATCAACTTAATATTAACTCAATGATTATTCAACATTAACTCAACATTAAATCAACATCAACTCAAAATTAACTTGACATCACCTTAGAATCAAATCAACATCAACTCAATATCAAATTGACATCAACTTCACATTAATCACTAAATTGCCAATACATTGACATTAATTGGCGGCTCGGTGGTCGAGAGTGTGAAGGCGCTGAGTTCGTATGGGGACTCCCACTGAGACATAGGTTCGAATCCTAGTTAGGCCATGGATGTTTGTGTTTGTATGCTTACCTAACCCCGCACAAGTTTCGACTTATGGGGCGTTTGGTCCCAGTGCTGGGAACAACGAGGTAATGCAATTAAAAAAAAAATCAACTTCCAATTGAAATTAACTTGATTTAAACTTTTCATCAACTTAACATTGTGTCAACTTCAACGACAATAACTCATGTCAAATCGACACTAACTTTCCATTAACTTGACCATAACTTAACTTACCATAATTCAGCATAATAATCATTCATTGGTACATCATAATCTGTTACTGTGCGATTTTCGAATATTTTCACCCATGTGAGTTTTTCTTTCGAACTTTCTAACTGTTATATGTTGTCATATTGAAACGAGTAACTTTCTCGATAACAAATCAATGTGTTTTGTGCTGTTTTCATAGGTGGTCGTCACCTTCATGTGATCGAATATGATTAGGAACATGATTCCTACTCTGGTCTTATAAACACTCATCACATATTATAATATAAATATTTGTGGTCGTAGGAAAAGTGCATTTCCTTCGCTCGTTTCGTTTCCGCACTCGCCGCTCTGCGGCTCGTGCTAAACGTCCACTCGCGCGAAATATGTCACTTTCCACACTAGTTATGTAATATACTAATTCACATATCTTTTCAAAAAGGGGTTAAGGTTAGTATTTCTCTCAAATGTTAGTTTTTTTATGAAACAACAAATCATCATCAGAGGAAATAGTTTTTTTCAATAAGTAATAATTCATTTTTATCAAATTTTTTATAATCACATGATCGAAATGTCAATTTTAACTCCTCAAGCAAAAACCTGTGAATTTTCGAAGGTCAACGCAATTCTGAATTCGAGGAATATCATGAATTATATTATACTAAAAATTAGCCGGTTCACCATTCACCAAGGGTTTTTGCGAGGCGCTTTGCTTTCTATCTTGAATTTGATTACAATTCTATGATAATATAATGCTAATTTTTCTGACAAATTGAAGCAGCCAAATTGCGAAAAATATGCCGTTCGGTTCCTGATTTATATGAGTCAACGAATGAACAAATTTATGAAAACCCTGAATGTCGATTAAGATGGATGAAAAAATTAGTGAATGTTCATTCACTTATACACCGTCAAAAGCAGTACTCATGTACATTCTTCTCAAATGGTAACAGGGTTTTTAAGATATTTTTCTGAAAATTTGTTGTTGCATGGTTGTTTCCACCACTTTCTAGTTTCCATATTTTTCGACTCCATATCGAATGAAACCCGTGAGGAAATTGCCTATTATACATATTACACACTAATTACGATCTCTCCTACTCGTTGAGAAATACTACAATATTAACTTGTTACATAAATACATTACTATTCATCAGTTCTTCTTGATTTACAGGAAATCTTCACCTTATTCATTTCCCGGCGGTATAAGCAAGACACTATTCTCAAACTTGGCAAGAGTAGCTTTAGTATGGATGGATGATTGGGCAAACTTTTATTTCAAATATAATGAGCAGGCAAGGTGAGATATGGAATTTTCAATAACCAGACCAGATAATTCGAAATGGCAGATTTTTTGCATTCATTATGCTGACTGATAGTACGAATTATGAGTGAAAACTAATTTACTTAATTTGAAGGGGAAACCGAATTTGTGGGTCTTCGGAAGAATAGATTTATATTATGCATAAGAGTGAGCTCGGTGAAAGTACACTACACTGTTCTACCACTAAGCAAACCGATTTTTTAACGCCTCGACACGTGTTTCGCTAACTATGTTAGCATCTTCAGGAGAAGATTAAAACTAAATATCCTATTCTAGTGTGCTGCTTATTATGCTAGGTATATATGTTCACCCAACCGTGAAAAATACTAACCGTCAAGTTGATGTTTGTCATTGTTGAGTTCACATGTTAATCTTGATTTTTATATTACGAAACTACTACTTACTACTAACTCATTCATTACTCTATTACTATTCTTGAATATATCTAAGCCTTCATATGCGTCTGATTTTCTAATACTATTTTAGAACAACAATTAACTTGCCATATTCCAAATGGGCTATGTGCTCTTTGAACCTTGCTTTTATGGGTTGCCTGGTTTGGCCTATATATGTTTCATCACAATCATCACAACCTATTTCGTATATTCCCGACTTCTCAAGTGTGTCCACTTCATCTTTCGGATTGCCTAATAAATTGCCTAATTTTGACCCAGACTGATAAACGCTTTCAAAAGCTAATCTTTGAAAACCTTCGTCCCTTCGTATACTTTGGATTGAACAAGATTGGGATTCTACTAGAGTTCTTTTCATCCAGTTGGAAAGTCGTAGAATCTCGAAGTGTGAACTTAAATTTATGTCTACGTATTAATTTACCTACTATTTTGATATCATACCCATTGACGCCAACCACTTTATAAACAACACTTCTTTCAGCATTGAATCTCTTTGCTCAGAGACAATGAAATTAATCTATGAACTAGAAAATTTAAACTTGCCATTTTGTGCTGAAAACAGTGATTTGAGTCATCAGGTCTATTCAACTCTGCAGTTATCGTTCGCAACAGAAATCTAGTAAATTTGGAGATTTCTTTACCGTCATTGTTGAAAATGTAGAACATTTGAGCTTGCATGAGAAAATCGAGATCCCATGCATCACCAGTATCATATCTCATCTCGCACGACCCATACATGGAACCCGTGGAAGGAGGTCAATCCGTAAACCTATAAACAGGTTGGCAGGAACGGTCATGCTGTAAAAGAAATGGCTGATAGGGTGAGCTGAAATAATAATGTCAGTACTTCCTATAAAAATGTCTATTGTCCTTCTTTACGGAGTTATGGACCTTGGAAGTTTGAACGAAACAAATATATTCCATGTATGACTTGAACGGTTGCTATGATATCGATGATATTCAGGCAACTATAGATCAACTCATACTAATGCTCATTTCGATATGTAAGCGGCTGTTCACTGATTATGTTTTATACAGGATAGGATGGATTTTTCCCGTTTAATGGAGATATTTTTGACAGAGGTGACAAATTTGATATTTCGCTTTCACCGATTGATTCCTTCGTCATTTTTCTCCAAAAATAGTATACTGTCCTACAATCTATATCTTGTACTGTTCTAGAAAGAAGCGCAATTTGAAAACATACATCCCAACCGATTCAAAGGCGATAAAAACATCATGGTAGTTGCAGTCATTGTCATAATTGACATCAAATTATTTTGACAGTATTTGATACTTTGGTAACACCATGAATGAGTTAAGTAATTATGAGTATGCATATGTATGGAGTTGCAGAAACTTTCAAGGTCAATAACTCCGTAAAGAAGTGTGATATACATTTTCTTATATATGGAACTAACATTATTTTGGCTCACTCTATCAGTTCTATCATTTACGAAATTTTTCGAACACCCTGTATTCCTTGAAAGAAAAATAGTGATTAGATACGTGATAGATGAATATGAGAATCTGAGGCGATCCATCTTGAAGTAAACTGAAGATAATAGTAGTTCCAATAAATTGCATATCCATCTGTTGTCGACAGATCATTTCTCATTCCTCTTGGCTAATTATGCGTGGGAGTCATCTCGTTATACATCATCAAATCGAAAGGAGTTAAATATTTGAAACACTTAGAGAAATGCATATTACTATTGTCGCTGACATGAGAAGTGGTATTAGGAGTAGTAATTATTGATTCTCTTGGATCGGCTCAATTGGCCCTGCTTACAGAAAAATGGACGGGCGTCTTCGTCTAGGGATGTTAGCTCTCCGCTTGAAAGAAGCATTGGTCTAGTCCTGAAGTCGTTTTTTTTTGGGAGCGTGGTGAGGCCTAGCAGCAGTTGGCATGTTCACAATAGTTTCGCAGAAGGCCATCCAGCTTTCTCTTCTGACTATTTTTATCGAGGCCTTGTCTCTTTGAGCCTCCTTGATGGTTGCCCAGTCGCCACGTGCCTTCGATGTTTGCTCACTCTTATGCTTTGAATTTGTTTCTGCATAAATCTGTACCATCAAGAAGGAGAGGATAATAATAACATTGAATCTAGAACAATTTAAATAGTCAAGAATGAAATTCCATTGAATGTTCTATCATAAATAAAAGGTTTTGTACTGAAGAAACCGTTTCTTTGGTTATACCTAGTATCTACTTGTTTTTTGTACACGTTCTCCACAGTGACTATACGACCATAAATCTCTAGAAATAATAGGATGGTTTGGTTCACCGACGTATATCTGGAAGGAGGTGATAGATAATGTGTTTTTGAACATATCTTACCCTATTAATATAGGTACGATTATACAAAATGTTACACTTTCCGAAAAATCATCGCAACTGAATTCGACATTGGAACTCGAATATCAACAGTGAATCTTTCTTCGAATTCTAACGAGCCCAGGCATTTTTTATCACATTTAGATCCCATTATATATGTTCAATATCGCTGGAATACTTAAAATATTTGACAAAACTTATATCGACCTATCCATCAATAAATTTGGTGAAATGCGTATCACATTGCATGATGGTATATAATAATATGGTTGAATATGTTCAATACGTTGGTGAACCAAAACACCCTGTATAAACTGTTCTTTTCAGAATAATAAAATTATAGTTGTTGAATATCTGAAGATCATCAATATAGATAACTGTTAATTCAAGTGTTTGTTGTATTTCAGGAGTGTGAAAAATGAACAGAATGTAACCTCAAGATTGGAATTGAAGAGCAAACTGAAATGCCAGAACTTTGAATGGTATTTGGACAATATCTGGCCCCAACATTTCTTTCCGAAAGAAGATAGATTCTTTGGTAGAATACGAAATGAAGGAGTGGATCTATGTTTGTTGAAACCAGACAGAAAAGGATTGTCGAATCAGCCGATGGGCATTGCAAAAATCGATAGGTTAGTTATATCTAGATATCTTAGGAGATAAAATTGATATTTGGAGAAATCAATCGCTTTATATAAAAATTATATGGTATCAGCAGGCTATAAGTTTATAATCATTCATTGATCATTCGATTTATGAAGAATGGTCAGTAAAATTTCCTATGAACGACCATTTTGATATTCAATATCCATGCGTGCTAGTCGGACTGTTTATTGATCATGGCTACAATGTATTCTTACTGTAGACACCGAACATCAACTAATGTAGACAAACTGATATGTTGCTGGTCCTCGCGGGCTTTACATAATAATAAGTTTATTCAATGTTAAGTAATATAGTTGTAGGCAATAATAACAATAATAAATTGTAATAATAATAATAGTGATAATCATAATATACAATCACAATAATTAATATAATATACAATCTCAATAATTAATAATATACAATCACAATAATTAAACAATTGAACAAATTTGAATAAACTTGAAAATCCCATTAGAATCCCACTAGAACCTTTACAAGAACTCTCGCGTAGTAAGGAGGTTTTGATTCGGGTTGATCATTCCATGATCGTCGTTCGGCCATACATCTACTGAAATTCATCAAAATGTTCTGGCTTGCCAAGATAAGCTGGCTTTTTCAGACAGTCCCAAGTCAATCATGAGGCTTTGCCTTCCTATTCCTCCTCTCGAGATATCCTCTCAAGGTATGGCTTAATAGTACTATTCAGTGAAGTTCTCGTCAAGAAAATATGCAAAATCAGGTTCATAAAGAACTCAAATGTTGTCGAAATCGTCTACCTACATGATTTTCTGAAACATTTTCCATTCTCCAGAGACATTTTTTGTCGGTTTATGTTTCGAAGGGAAGATATACAATGGTAACAAATGATTGTACAAAGTTTTGTCTTTCGTGCGAAATAATTTATTCGTAGCAGAGCGCTTTTGATAATACAGTCATCATCAGTGCCTATACCTATAACTGAGAAATCGACTTACAGCTTTTGAAAAAGGCACGAAAGAAATCGAGAAGTTATCGAATTTTGAATTTGAAAATAAGTAAAAGTGGGGTTACTTACTCAGATTGACAAGAAAATTATCCATAAGAATAACTTTGGTACTGCTTATACATGGTGTGATTTAATTGCTGGCAGGAAATGAAGGATATGGTTCCTTTTAGCTCATTCTAAGTGGAAAAGTTCATATGGACATATGCCCTTAACCTCTCTTATTACTACAGTTTGGTGTAACGGAATTGAGCGATCTTGGTCTCATTATGAAGGGTTTTTTCAGATCTTCCCGATGAATCATGAATCAAGTCGATTCAAATCCCGTGGTGGCCGCTAGATGGCATCGTTTGAAAAATCAACCGATTTGCCATTTTCTCCGAGAATTTCAAATGGAACTCCAATTATAATTTGACGTTTCTTTCATTCAAAGCCAACTTGCCTTTTCTCATTCCTGAGCCTATACTCACTACTTACATTTCAGTAAGCTATGTCATTACTAAGAGTCTCCTTCACTATTGTGAGATATAACAGCAGTTTGTGAAACCAAAATAAATGAATAATTGAGATACAGGATATTTCTGATTACGATTATTGAAGTTAGATTCCTGTGGTGAATATTTTCATAATATTATTTCGGGTATTTCACCGGTTCCTCAAGAGGCATCAATTCGCGCTTTCCACCATTTATCTCCTCGTTTGCTCTACTTTTGTACTAGAATAGAATGAATATATGGTTCCATTTGAAATTTTCTGAAAAAAATGGAAAATTGTCTTATTTTTCAAATGATGCCATCTAGCGGCCACCACAGGATTTAAATCGACTCGATTCGTGATTCATCTGGAAGAACAAAAAAAAAACCTTTATAATGAGACCTAGATCGTTGAATTTCGTTACACCAAACTGTAGTAATGAGAGTTTTTCCAAAGTAGGTACTATTCATCATTCCCTCCATCTTCCATTTAAAGAGCTAGCGCAATTTTTTTTTGATCGAAATGATTGGAAATCAACTCGAGAACATGGAAAAAGTGTTTTCGACATGTCTTGATATATCAAATTTTTATAAAAACCCGTTTATTTAACTGGCCAATGCAATTACGCCCTCTAGGGGCTGTCCTGGAAACTTGAAAATAATTTCCAGAGATTTCTCTTGGCCACTTTCATCATTCATATTTTTTTCCGAAACCTGTGCGGCATATAGTTTCCGAGATACAGCCGGCGTCCTTTCTTAGTGGTACACCCGGTACATACTCACATAATATCGATATTGAGTGCCCAGCTCTACCGATTTTGACGTTGGAGACCAATTGCCGCAGTTTAACATATGAACATACACAAATAATATCGATATTGAGTGCTCAGCTCTACCGATTTCGACGTTCGAGACCAATCGCCGCGCTCCGGACACTCGCATTGCGTAGGCTACTCATTTATTATTGCGTCGTGACAATGTGTAAAACCTTACTCAATCTAAATTGTAGTTTTTTTTTAAATAAACTCTCCCAAATATCCCTTGTGATTTTACGTCATTTACTAACACGGTTTCCGGTACAAACACGTTTCCCCGTATCCGATGTTGGATATCACTGCGGGGACCTTGATCAGGGCCTACTCTATCTCACCCGTAGTCTATCCCCTCTCTCTCGACGCTGACGTCACACTAGTAGGTTGAGATTTCACATCAGTCATCAGAATTTCTAACGTCATCAAAGTGCGTCCTGATCATCTTTAGAGATAAACGCTGCTGAAACCCTTCGAGATAAAGTGGATGTGTATCATACCGATTTGTAGGCAATCGGACCCCGCACCGCATCAATGGGAAATTGGCTTTCGGTGAATTTACTCGAATTTTTGATATATTGTAGAACTCATGGTGCTGATCAAATGTCTCCATTGCACCAACGCTCTAAAATCAACAGTTACGATTATATAGGGTGATAAAGTTTACTTTTGAAGAATTTAAGATAGACATTGTGAAGACACCTTTCATAATTTCGAAACCAAATCAACTGTGCATTGATTGTTCGAATGACCGATACGAATCTACTATAAACTATAATGATTCCTGCACGTACCAACAATATACAGGGTTGGTCGGAACATAGCGAATAATTCAGTGATTTTCTGAAAAGTGTGCGGTGGAATTCCATTTAAATTCTGTTGTATACAAATATCATCCCCATTTCGTGATATGAGCATCTCCTAATCATATATATTATTTACAAGATGTTTTATTTTTGATGAAGTCACATCCATGTTAGGTACTTATTATTGGCATCCTCAATATGACTTACAACTTGAACAACCTATGATGAATGTCCACTCTGCAAATCCGTGAAATATACAGAGTGGATGAAAAATCAATGGTCTTTGCTAATAACTTCTCAAGAGTAGTATGTGCAGATTCTTGTGACCCATTTTATTGACCCTGTTTCATAACGACATTATAATCAATAAAACTAATTTGAACCATTCGATGCAGTATATTTTTAATAACATGTTAGATCCATAAATTCGAGATGTGCAAGTCCCCTTTGGTCTCGCCTTTCAATAGCGATTTCTCGCTTCATTTCATCTGGTTCTCCCTCAAGTAGTCCCATATTTTGTATATTGAATGCTGAATGACACGTAAAACAATTCAATCGGCGACGATTAGCCATTTTTCAAATAATTATTACTATGGCTTCTATATGAACTTGACAGATGCAATAGTTGCAAATGACAATGTTAAACAGATGAATATAGTTGCTATGTGCCTGCCATATTACACCGTAATTGAATGAAATCAAAGATTCATTCGGCATTTGTAAAAATTCACCATTCGTCCTCACTCAATATTCTATTATTTTATATTACCATGATTTCATGATGATATGTGTGTATGTTTCCAACTGATTTATATATTCATTTGTTAAATACTGTCTGTAGGTTAATTGAGGAAGTGAAATATTCATCATTATACTGGTGAATTTTTGTTTTCGGCTCTTTGATAGTGACATCTTTGAGGCAAATCATCTGATTTGTCCTTACTAGACGTATATTGAAATGATACTCATATTATTATTTTATAGAAACGAGGTGAGAAAATCCCAAAAAATCTGGAATAATTTATATATTTATGTTTATTGAAACTAATATAGCTGCTTCTATATCTTTATTGAGTACGTTATGAACTCGGCTATAAAGTCAGGAGTACTTTTCGAATATAATAACTATGCCATCGTGTTGATTTTCATACTACCTTATAAACCAACCAGATAGTATTGTTTATTGTTACATTAGGTATGTATTCCCGAGTATTTCAGATAGTTGGGTTCATCTTTATATGTATTTTTGTATGTATGTCTGTTTGACTCAAGAGACGCCAATGTATAATTAGCCAATTTGATGTTAGAAAAGGCTATCAGAGTCAATTCAGTATAAGCCACGATATAGAAGCAGAAAACCTACCAGGTGAAATTGGCAGGATCTCATATGAAAGATGTATATGATATCACGATGAAAATTAATTTCAATTCAAATACGAACGCTCATGGATTTTCACGAATGAGAATTCACTCAAGCTTCCGTAATTCCAAGAAATAACAATAAATTGTGGATCGCATTCAATGCCGGAAGACATTGACATGATGACACCTAATGAAAAAACGAATACATGAAATTAGTCATTCATAATATATTGTTTACTACTTTAATTTTGTTTTAACTGTTATGTTTACTTTACTTCAGCAGTGTTTGAGGGTTGAGGTATTCTAGAATTGAGTATGACGAGTTGTATTCAGGAGACTGTTCAAGAAGTTGAATAAATTCAACTTTTTCATTTCGTGAAACGAATTCGTTTTATGAATTAGTGATCGAGGAAATATACTCGCTTGTCATAACACGGAAGTAAAATACTATGTAAGGTACAGAACTTTTGTTGTGATTGAATATCAGAATATTTCGTTATCCATAATAACTGTATATTCATTGTTCTTGTTTCCTATTGTTGATTGTTTCAC